AAGAATTGCAGTTAAATCTCTGAGATACACCACCATGAAATAATTTTTGGAAGACAGAATTCTCCCAAGGCTTCAAGAAAGAAATTGTACTTAGACTCAAGCGTGACGCTGCAACTCGTACACCTGCACAAACTCGATTACCGATAAAGGTTCTAGAGAGCCACTTGATTCGCCCATCCTAAAAGATGTGAAGCCATGAGCGATGAACGAACTTGGCCCGGGTGTGACCCGGCCCCTATATGTGCATGTTGTCGAGCCACAAGATATTCACCATAGCGTTAAGGAAAGACTCCAGCTCCACGAAAATAAGCCAACAAAAGCACCAAAACAAATTATCAAAAACTCAACATATCCAAAAGATCAGTCATGCGCGGACAAAAAATACTCTGCAAGAACAATTGCAATGGACTTGCGGAGGAAACATAGCTCTCGCTCCATGGATTCACTCGATAAATCATTACACAAAGGCAGAGGAACCATATGACATTTATTTTCATTGACACCTCAGCGGCCACCAATATGTTGTCGTTGAAGACCACAAACCTCATCCTAAAAAGACTCTTGAGACATACGAGCACCTGAGATCCCGCTACCTCACACCTCAAGAAAATCTTGAAGGGAGTCCATGATCCTACGATAAAACATCCCTGTGGTCATCAAACACCGTGAGGCCATAGGGGTGAGCTATGCTTCGCATGAATACGGCCATAAAGGGGAAGGAGGATTCATTAAATTACTTAAGTATGAAAATATTTTACATTAATAGTAAATAATTTTCCATGTTATATTTTTTGTCATATCAAAATTTCCATGTGGTAATAGCTTGTTAAGTTGTGATGGCTGCATATTTACATCGGTATGAAGGTATCTAATTATAGATATTTCAGCACGTTTCGGCACACAATGCACTCTACAATCTTAGAAAAGAATTAGGCGGCAGATTCTGTGGGAAGTTGATTTTGTGAGCATTTTCTAGAATCTTGATTCTGCATAATCCCGTGCGTGAAAAAGAACTGGGCCTACATGGAGCTCCAAGGCATATGTGACATATAGTTATGAAGGAATTTGAGAACCGATTGCAATAGGGGGGAGAGGGATTTTGGTTTACAAAAGTGAATGGGCCAATTGGACATCATGATCGTAACACTTCTTTCATTCACCACTACGCAACTAGGATCTAGAAACAAATATCAATATAATGGTAACAACGACGATGAACTCTATGTGTGGCTCTACAACTGTAATCATTTAAATCTGTCAGGAGCTACCTCATACACCCACTACAATAGTTTAAATCCGTGTACAAGAATAATACATGGTCCTAGATTAATCAGACAGTTGCTTATACTGGGGTGGTTGTTTCATAATAAATGAGAAGTAATTATTCCTTAGCCGACATTCATAGCCGTCCGATGGAGATCTTTTTCTCTATCCATACTCACGCTCGAGAATCTTTTTTTTAAACAAAGGCAAAGATTGCCTCATCTATTAATTAAGCAGAATAGAATTACCCGGTTAATTATGGATAACTGGACGAAAACCAAAACAACAAGGGCCAAGCCCACCCCAAAGACTAACACAACGGGCAAAGCCCACCCATGAACAACATCGATGACAACCACGTCGCCCACACGACATAAGGTCCATGCCCTCGAAGCTGCAAATCTCACGAGGCCGCTGCCTCGACATCCACTGCTCCATTGCGCCCTGCGCACTCAACCGACACCGCCTTCCGGGGCCATCGCCCCGACATGCCACCGCTCGCCCTCGAGCAGCAACGCCGCACGATACAGCAGCCCGCAGCCCACACTGCTCAGGACAACCGCACGCAGACCACGAACGTCGCACCACATCCGGGGCCGCCGCCCCGACATGCCACCGCTCACCCTCGAGCAGCAACGCCGCATGATACAGCAGTCTGCAGTCCGCACTGCTCTGGACTACCGCACGCAGATGTCGCGAACGCCGCACCACATCCGGGGCCGCCTCCTCGATATGCCGTCCAACCGCCCCCGCTGGGACGCGTCGACCGAGCCGACAACCTTGCCGCCCACGCAGCTCAAGGTCCTCACCCAAGCCATGCCGACAAACAGCCCTACCTCCTGGGGTCACCGCTGCCCGAAGCCGCCGCCTTGGCTCTCAACTGAAGATCCAGGAGCCGCCGCCTTGGCTCTCAACTTAAGATCCAGGAGCCGCCGCCCCGGCATACACCGCCCATGAAAACGCTCGAGAATGATCAATTGGCCAATAATCTAAACTATCATACGAGAACTCGATTCAAACATGTCCTTTTTTTCTTGAATACGCATGAGTATGCGTTTCTTATATTGATAGAAGAGAGGGAATAGAATCTGGTCCACCTCGTGGTTCTACCGATCTCTCATATACTAATTATTATAATATTTACTCACTCTGTAAATGTAAGCATTTTTAGAGATTCCAATAAGGACTACATAGGGAGCAAAATGAGTGAATCTACACTCTAAAATACGTCTATATACATATGTATGTAGTCCATATTGAACTTTCTAAAAGGACTTATATTTAGAAATGTAGGGAGTATTGAAAACAACATAGCATGATTAATAATTAGCATTATGATACCATGAAGTTGACAATTTTCATTCTTTTTGTTTAGGTACACATTATATTTTATTTAGGAACACGTATTTTTAGAATATTTTTTTAAGCTACTCCCGCCGATCGTAAAATAGTGTCACAAATTTTAACTAAGCTTACTTGTACACATTCTTCTTTTATTTAGGAACACATTTTTTAGAATAGTTTTTTAAGCAAATAATACTTTATTTTTTACTTTATTTTTTGAGGAAAATAGTTTGTTTATTTAGGTAAACAAAAAGCGCTAGGACTATATCTCGCTCAACGCGAGTCAGAAGATAGTCTCCTGAAGCATTCTGATCCCCCACTTATTAGCGGGCCAGCCCATTTCCAACGATCGTTCCCGCTCACTCGCTCGTGCTCTTTTCCCTTTTTCGTTTTTCTTCCTGGTTTTTTTTCGTTTCTTCACGAATTTCTTGTTTTTTTTCTTTCACTGTTTCCTTCGTTTTGTTCTGGTTTTTTCTTTGCTTTTCTTCGGTTTTTCGTCTGTTCCTTTTTCCATTTTTATTGGTTTTTTTTATTTTCTTTATTTTTGTTTCTTTTTTCTTAGTTTTTTCATTTTTATATTCTTCTGTTTTGTTTGATTTTTTTTTCTTAGGTTTTCTTTGCTTTCTAATGGGTTTTCATGGTTTTCTTCAGGGTTTTTTTTCTAAGGTGTTTTTTTAGTTTCTTCGGTTTTCACCTCTTTTGTTCATTTTTTTGTACAACCCATGTCCACATTTTTCATTCACATTTTTACATTTTATGTATACATCTGGAAAAAATCTATACATTTTAAATATTTCCAAAATATTTGTTTCATTACTACATTTGTATACACATTGTACATTTCCGGTATATATCAGGAACATTTTAAATATATGTTAAACATTTTTTAAAATATATTATTACATTTTTATGCAGCATAAATATTTTCTATAATATTTTTTTTATGTTAACATTCATGTTCTATATTTTACGTATACACAATGAACATTTTTTTGTAAAGTTTTTAAAATTTTAAAATAGTTTCCTAACATTTTTTCCAAATATTTGTGGTTGACGACTACTTTTTTCATACACATGGTATATTCTTGGTATATAGCTGAAACATATTTTTTATACACGGTTAAACATTTTGAAAAATATGATTACATTTTTTTATAAATATTTCGCAACTTTAATATTTATTTTTATATTTAGTTTTTTAATATATGTTCTACATTTTTTGTATACATCAGGAAATTTTGTATACATGTTAAAAAAAATAGATGATTAATATTTTATTGTATATTTGATTCAATTTTAAATACATGATCAATTTTTTCATAATTTGTATTTTTTGTATACATTTTTCGTATGCATGAGAAACATATTTTCTTTGCACATGTAACATTTTTCAAATGCTACATCAAAAAATTTCAAAATAAAATCTATAGTGTGTATATTGTACTCCCTCCGTTCCAAAATAAGTGTCTTGAGCATAGTACAAATTTGTACTAGAGCTAATACAAAGTTGAGACACTTATTTTGAATGGAGGGAGTAATACATATCTTTATAATATTTGGATGTATAAATAAAAGTTAAAAAATAATGGAAAATGAAAAAAAAACATGTAAGAAAACAGAAAAATAATTATAACGAGGTGGTTGCCTCACAGTCTCGGGCTCCATGGGGCAATTTCGCGTCAAGCGAGACATAGGCATTCCCAACACAAACAGCAAAGTGCCTTAAAAAAAAGGCAGCAAAGTTGGCTCCATTTTCCCCCGTACACGATTCTAAAGAAGGGAAAACTCTCATCTCAAAAAAAGGATAATTTTTTTGTCTTTTCATACACCAACCTAGTCGCCTGGCCTGTCACCCCATTTCTTTTATGGGCAACCCCTAAAACAAATTCTTTTCTGGGCCGCGCCGCTCATTTCTATTCCTAGCTTCGATTGCATGGGTCGAGAAATTTATTGCTACCACACACTACGTTAACGAACGAAAAGTAAAAGCGACCTTCTTCTCTTCTTCCAGTAGCCATGGGCAAAATTCTAACGTTCACTATCGGGGTCCTTTTTTAAGCTAATAGGTTATTTATTTAGGTACACAAAAGGAAGGAAAGGAGACTCCATTTTTCCCCCATGCATGATTCTAAAGAAGGAAAAACTGTCCTCATGGGCCAACCAGTTTCTTTTCGAGTACTTTTCTGGTTGTTTCCATTCTTTTATCGCTATCACACACCACCCTCAAAAAAGATTCTGAAAAAGAAACCAGCCTAAAAAAAACACGTTAACGAACGGAAAAAAAAACGCTCTTCTTCTCCCCCCTCCTCTTTTCGGTAGCCATGGGTGCTCTGCTCTGCTCTGCTCGAACCCACCCCAGATCGGAGCCACGCTTGCTGGCGACCAGGATCCACCAATGCCCCAATAATTCCTCCAAAGATCATTGTTTACTGTTCTACTGCTAATTAATAAGAAACCTAGAAGTAGTAAATTATCTGCTCTTGGTGCAGGTAAATTCTATGTGCAGCGTGACTACATGTTCCGTTGAAAGAGGATGACTAATCTTCTGATGACAATGGTTCACCAAAGTTGAAACTAAACTAAAAATGTCAGCCATGCCATATATTCTGTTTGCCGCTGGGATCATGATATTCACAAGTGTGTGGGTCTATTCCTTTTGTAACATTTCTGTGTGTTGTCTACATCTTTCTCATCCATGTAAGGCTTGTGTGGCAATCCTATAAACTGAAGATCGAAGAAGTCAAGAGCCATGTGCGCCAATGAATGAATGAATTCTAGTGTGTTAAATGTTGTGTGAATTGCCTTTGAACATCTTGGTTCGCAGCAGCCCCCTGTTAACAATCTTTGCTGCGCCAGCAGACGCCACAAAGCCCCAAGTTGCTCTACCTTTGGCACCATCACAGCCTTCCTTCGGCATCGAAGTCACAGGTCCCAGCGATTTTCTTTTGGATTCGAATGAGCATGTCGCAAATTACAAATATCATTGAAGAGTTTTATCAGTATCCATCTCAAAAGAATGTGATATATATCATGGTATGGAACAGTAGGATAGATAGCAATTTGCTACTTATGTTAGCATGGAGAATGCACCAAATAAGGTGCAAGTCTGCCCAAAGCACAAATTTGGGCTGATTCAAACTTTCAAGCTCTACGAAATCAATAATGTTTTTATTTTCACATACGCCAGCACTGAATAGCAGAGATATATGGTAACGCTAATTCATGCCAACTCCATTATTTTACTTCTAACAGTCAAAAACAGTAGTAAACGATGAGACCCGTTCATTGTTGATCATGCTTTGGCCCTAAATAGGTTACCTTCCCAAGATTAGAAAAATTCCCACCGCAAGTAAAATGAAAATCAGCTAAAAGATAATTAATCTTAGGAGGATAGTGGAAAGAAAAATCAAAAGGCATAGAAAGTACACAATAGATTCATATATTTGTCTAAGCATAATGGATTCATATTTTTCTAAGCATAACCTACACATAAATAACTGAACTGCAAATTTAGCACTAAACCCACTGCAACTCTGCAACATCATCAGAGCATGATTTTGCAATTCCCAGTCCGTTATTGCACCACCAGAGCATTGCTATCCTATTCCCACTCCACTGTCGCCGGTGGCTTTGATGTTACGTCCAGGACAACACGGTTGACGCCTCGCACGTTATTGCAGATCTTCTTCACCACATCAACCAGGAACGGGCGTTCAAAATCATACCTGGCAGGATTTTAAAAGAAAAGGGACACGGCTGTCAAAATATGCAAGGTAGCATCAACAAACACCGAAAAATAAAGAGGAAGCCTAGATTTTACCACATCATAGAAACAAGGTACGCTTGGTAACAAAATGAGAGAGGAGAGAGAACACATTTCTGTGCACAACAATACTTAAGGCACTAAGAAACTCCTATACCAAGACTGCTGGTACAGGCAATGAAACATAGGTGCATGAACTCTGAATTGTCTGATTCAAACTACTAGTATTCACAGACTAGTCTAGCAGGAACACTAGTCTAATAGGCATATATAACAGTATTTGCTGCAGACTTGTAATCTGTACAGCTGCAACAAAATGTCACCGTGTAGTGCAAGGGCATGATGAAACCATTAGAGCACGATTGTATCATAGAATTGCAAAAGGGGGGACTATGATAGAGCTGTAGGGTCAATGCAGCATACCAATTTGCAGTCATGCCATCCTCACTGGTAATTGCCCTTAAAGCAACCACATGGGAGTGAGTTCTCTGGTCACCCTGGACCCCAACTGTCTGGACAGGCAAAAACACAGCAAAAGCTTGCCAAATTTCATCATAGAGGCCTGCATCTTTAATGGCTTGAATAAATATCTCATCCACCTGAAGACACAACAGAGCAGTTCCCAATTAACACCGTATATTAAAGATGATTTAGAAACCAATTGTTCAAAAGGATCGAACCTGACGAAGAACCTCCAGAGCATTGCCTGCTGTAACATCACCTATGACACGTACAGCAAGACCAGGCCCAGGAAATGGGTGTCGCTTTAAGAATGACTCTGGGACATTTAGGATACTTCCCAGCTTCCGAACCTTTTGCAGGACAAAAATTCAACAAATAAATAAGTAATAAGAATATTTTTCTTCAAAATCAAACAGGCATAATTTCCCAGTATGAGGTATCTTTCAGTATAGAATGTCAGATGAATAAATATATGAAGTAGATAGGTGTATAGATGGAGATCAAGACCTCATCCTTAAATAGAAGCTTCAGTGGTTCAATGAGCTTCAACTTCATATCTTTGGGAAGGCCACCTACATTGTGATGGCTTTTGATGGTGTGGGAATGTGTCCTCCCGCTCCCAGGGGGTGGGCATGATTCAATCACATCAGGGTATAATGTTCCTTGAACCAAATATTCAGGTCTTTTCCCTATCTTCTTTTCTAACATGTGAGCAAATTCATCAAATACAGCAATGAATTCCCTGCCAATAATCTTTCTTTTCATCTCTGGGTCCTTGACTCCTTTTAACTCGCTAAGAAATTTCTCCGAGGCATCAATGCATGTGACAGGAAGGTGCAAGTCACTGTTGAAGGTTGACATAACTCGTTCCTGCTCCTTATATCTGCAGATAAGGTCATATGTCAGTTTCGCTGCACACTGATTCCGAAACAGAACATGCTGAAGGAACAGTTACCTCAATAGACCGTTGTCCACAAAAACACAGTGCAGCCTATCCCCTATTGCGTTATGAACAAGAGTGGCTGCAACTGTTGAATCAACTCCTCCTGATAAGGCACAAATCACATGTTCATCAGGCCCAACCATACTTTTGATGGTCTTAATCTCCTCATCCAGTACATCTTGCATCTTCCAGTCGGCTTTAATCCCACAAACATCAAAGAGAAAGTGGCGCAGTGTTTCCATCCCTTGGGGCGAATGTGTCACCTTGCATAATCAGAAGATTGAAAAGCTTATGGCAACCATGCTAAGGTATAAAAAAATTTATGAAGAAGCATGTGTACTTCTGTACAAACTACAAAGTAACCAAATGATATAATATAAGTAATATAATAGCCTAATAAGACCAAACACAATCTAGTAACCATACAATCAGTAATATGCAATCCCCCAAAACATAGGCTTCCTATTAGATCATCAGCGCCCTAATCAACCACTGAGTCATTCATTCATTCATTCTGTACCCAGAATAAGGTAATCTACAAACCCAATTGCATTTATTATTATATCTTAGTTTAAATCCATCTCCATCTTCTAACCAAAATGGCAGAATGAAACAGTAATAAAGTTATGTTTTCCCAGAACTGCTAAAGGAAGTAAGTAACTGCACAGCTCAGGGTTCCGCATCATTCATCCATTTCGGATGCAGGACATGATAAAACAGCAAGTGATAGCTACCTCCGGGTGGTACTGGAGCCCATAGAAGCGCTTCTCCCGGTGCTCGATGGCGGCGATTGCGCCCTGCACGCTGCGCGCCACAACCTCGAACCCCTCGGGCAGCCTGACGACCTCGTCGCCGTGGCTCATCCACACCGACTGCCGCTTCCCGTCCTCCCCGTACAGCGCGGAGGAGGGCGCGGTGACCTCCACCTCCATGTCGCCGTACTCCTGCCTCACGCCGGGCTCGACGGCGCCGCCGAGGGTCTGCACGAGGAGCTGCATCCCGTAGCAGACGCCGAGGACGTGCGCGCCGGCGCCGGCCGCGAAGTCGAGGAAGCCCTCGGGGAAGGAGGGCGCGCCCTCGGCGTGCACCGAGTGGGGCCCGCCGGAGAGCACGACGGCGCGGGGGCGCAGGCCCGCGAGGGAGGAGAGCGGCGCCGTCCCGGAGACGCAGAGCGAGAGGACCCCCAGCTGGCGGACGCGGCGGGTGATGAGGTGGGTGTACTGCGAGCCGAAGTCGAGGATGAGGACCAGGTTCTCGCCGGCGCCGGCGGA